TAAGTTGCCATTTTGAACTTTCTATAAGATTCCCAAATTTTGTGAGTGATTGCTAAATCATTAAACACTGCAGCTATTAAAATCGTAAATCTTGGTGCACACGACTGTTAATAAATCAAATGGGAGGAGGGGGGGAATTTGTATATGGTGATTAAAACAGTGTAAGGGTTAAAGTAATATAGTCTTTGGCTTTCTGCATTCCTAATACAGTACCTATACTATAAATTGTTATATGTAAGCAGTATTACTTTAGGATTTAGTATATTTTTGTTTCTACGTGAGCCGTGTTTGTGTGCAATGCGCAGAATACCTTTTGTCTTTGCTGAAACTATATACATTTATATATACAGTAATGGTGCAAGGAAGAGTCTGATGTTGTTGAGCCGTTTAATCCTCTGTTGGAAGATTTTTGGAGCCAGTTTTACATATTGTTTGAGCAATAGCCTACTTGAAGCACAACCATACAAATTTCATGCACCCTGATTGAAGTTGACAGTAATAGTAGTTTTGGTTGCAAGTAATCCCCATAGGAAGTTTTGCAACGACTTCACTCGACACCATCGACTTGAGAATAGTCCAGGATGGACCGAAACGTCGTCGTCCCTTCACTTTTTAGTGTGTGGTTTGGTCAATAAGTTTTGCAACATTGTTTGTCAAGTTCGTTGTCATAGGAATTAGTTAAATATTAAAATTTTGAATATATGTTGTTGGACCATACATTTACAGTACAAACAGTCCCCTTAGAACGAATGGGTTACATTCTGAGAATATGTTCACGGAGCATTTATTTGGAATGCAGAACGAGATTTTCCATAGGTGAAGTTGTAAATGAGGGGATGTTTCCAGGTCACCATAAATCATCATAATTTTGGTGATCACAAATACAGCATAAGATTTACTTTGAATGACGTTATCCTGCATGTCAAAGTTGACTGTTTTTGAGGAGTGAAGAGATCTATTAGCTGGAGATGTCGGAAGATAGCAGTGTGTCGGCAGTAGAGGGTGGCTGGTCATTTTCAGTGTCACTGGCTATATTTGATGTGGGAGATGATGGATTGGTGGGAAATGCCTATGAGTCGTCATCAGTGTCACTAGCTGCTGTAGAAGTTACTGGTTTTGGGTCAGATTTTTCTTGAAGATTGTCGAGGCATTTGTCACAAGTCAAGCCTGGGGAGTACAGGGAGAAGAAGAACTCTTTAAGAACCCTCTCCAGGTATGCAGTTGGAAATGATGTTTTAAGAGGCGACTGCTGGGCTAGAGACATTTTTGAGAAATACGTTCTCACAGTACTTGTGCAACTATCTTCTTCTTTTCAATGTAAATTGAAAAATTTGGTTATAGAGTGCAAGGCAATTCCAAACCATTTTTGAGGTGTTTTGACATCTCTCAACGTTGTCATCTTGCTCTTCCAAAATTGCCAATTCATCTTCTACCAGCTTAAATCCCTCTTCCAGTCTCTTGGCTGTGATTTATTTTAGCGAGGGTGTCTCGCCAACTAACTCCTCTGGAACAGCTTCATCTTGAGTCTTTGCTGCCTCCAACTCCATAAGGTTTTAATTTGTGAGCTCCTTTGCATGAGAGTCCAAAAACTCTCAACACATTTTCCTCATCCACCTCAAAGTTTAGATCCTTTGCAATTTCAAGAAGGTTTTCAGTCAGCTCCTGCAACTGATTCTCCAAACCCTGAAATTATTTACAAATTGAGGACAAACATTTATCCAAACACCGTTAATGCTAGTCTAACTCACTTTTAGGTTATGCAAATTTGTCCCACCCTCGTATTTATTAAACCGCCCACGACAGGCCACAAATGTCTCGTCGCTGTTTCACTTAATTTTGTCTTCAAATCATCAAAAAGACTTTTTGCTTTCTCTTGTGTGAACATCAGGCTGATTGGATTTCAGTAACAATTTTAATCCACAAAGTTAACAACTTTTCCATCTTGCAAATTAAATGTGATTTTTTCTTATTGTAATTGATTTGAGTGGTGTAGAACCCTTCACGTGCTCTACAATTTGTTTTTTTTTCTTACGATCACAGTTGTTGAGCGTTTCAAGCCATAAACATTTGCAATCTGTGTTGGTTTTTTGCCCATATCTTAAAGCGCTTAATAATGTCTAGCTTTGTCTGTAGGGTATTGCTTATTTTCCTTGGCATTAATGCATTATCAGTACTAGTCCTCCTCTTATCAGCCATTCTTAATGGTATTTTCCCTCAATAAAGTTCAAAGAAAGCACAGCATGTCTACTTTGGACTTGAGAAAACTATTGATTTGGGCAGCATGGGTTCCCACTGATACTGTAAGTCAAATTGAATGCACACATGACAGTTCACCAACTTATTTTAAAACATGCCTTACCTAACACAACTGAACCTAATCTTATCCAAACAAATCTAATTTAACCCACCCGAGCCTAACACACCACAATCTAAGATAATACTGTACATCCTAACCCCACACTATATGCAATTTTGATTGAAAATAAACTTGTTTATGATTTGACTACACCCCACCTTCCTTAGTGGGCTGTGTGGATGTTTCTGTATACTACACCACGTGGCTGCCACATGGACGTTTCTGTATACTACACCACGTGGCTGCCACATGGACGTTTCTGTATACTACACCACGTGGCTGCCACATGGACGTTTCTGTATACTACACCACGTGACTGCCACATGGACGTTTCTGTATACTACACCACGTGGCTGCCACATGGACGTTTCTGTATACTACACCACGTGGCTGCCACATGGACGTTTCTGTATACTACGCCACGTGGCTGCCACATGGACGTTTCTGTATACTACGCCACGTGGCTGCCACATGGACGTTTCTGTATACTACACCACGTGGCTGCCACATGGACGTTTCTGTATACTACACCACGTGGCTGCCACATGGACGTTTTAGTGTGTAATACTGGGGACACTCCGGCAGGTTTGATTAGTAATTTGCATCATGAAGGGGGGACTTAAGATGATGTTCAGATGGACAAGTGTTCATATAACAGGAACCTCCTGTATGTAAATTTTCATCATAATTATGATAGTTTGAAAATGACTAATTCTTCATAAATTCAGTGCAATATTTTAGAATTCAATCTAAAGAATTAAGGTTTTTACTTTTGTTACGTACCATATTGATTTTAATCCTTCTGACACTGACCAGTTTTAAAATGTCATAGATTCTTGAATTCCCGCACCCCTGTTTCCCCACCGGTACATACACTAGTGTTACTTGATCTGTCACCCAGCCTAAAACTGAACACGTCCCTTGCAATCGGTCGCCAGTTACAACAACCACAAACGTAACTCAAATTTTGTACAAACTACCTATCACTACAAGCCCACCAAAAAATCAGCAATAACCTCAACCATTGGTGCAGTGGATGGTGATCTCTCACTAGGTTAGGTAATGGTCGGCATTAGATGCAGGCTATGTAGATAGAAGCGCAAGTTTGCAGCCATTTGGCATGCATTGTGAGGTACTGTATTCAGATTCCTCTGGGCTCTGTGCTCTAGCTTCAGACTAGTCCTGGGTGGGTCATTGCTTGAACTGAAGAGGGCGTTCCCTTTGTTCCATTGCCCTTTGGAGTTGGATACTGCACATAACTCGTCTGGATTCTCAGGGTTTGATTCTCCACATTGTTCACATCTGGGGAGTGTCCAACATTTTCATTGATGGTCTGCTTATTCCTACCCGTAAATGTTCTGGGCTTCCCTGTGTGACACTCTGCGACACCTAAAATGTTTCTTCTTTTTTTTAGTTTTCTCAGTCTTGGAGTTACATATGGCCATAAATTTGGTGTCAATATGTTTGTAAATGAATTTGCTGGACTGTACATGACGTACAAAATGTGCTTTTATAATAAATTTGTGATGTTCCTGAGTACTATACTAATTAGCATCATTAGCATTTTAGTGCCATCAGAATGTTTACTGTTGGAATATGGATGATGTATTTTTAGCATCATCAGAACGCTAACTAAAGTGTTAGTACTAAAATCATGTGGAAAAGTTGGAAAACATAAGCACTTGAAGTAAAGAGCCTCTGGTTTTATGTACTGTCCATTTTATAAAATAAAAAAACTTTAGAAAAATATCTGCCCTCTGTCAGTGGTTTGATTATTGGGTTTCTTGCGTGTTTCTTTTAAGTTAGTCATTGTGGACTTGAGTGGAATAAATCACATGGGCTAGACGTTGTGGGAATTATGTTGGTTTAGAAGCTAACAAAAAATGATATACTGACAAATGTTTATAGAATTTAGATATCAGTCACTATTTGTAAGTCTATGGGGGTCTCCTGTATTGAAACAGTCAATAAATAATTTAAAATAAGAAAAGAGAGAAACCTTTTCCCAAAAGTTGTCCCAGATGCTGTAGATTTTTGGTGCAGTGGCATTCTATTCTGTTAAGGAGAGATTTGATGAAGTATATAATGAACATTTGTAAAAGTCTGCAGCGTTGTAAACATAATCTAATTGTAGAAATAGTATACATATTTTTTTCTAAAAGTTGTCAGATGGAATTTGGAACACCTTTTCTTTGATAATTTGTGCATGCTAAGGCACATTAAACTTTGTGACTGATCCATGATTGTATCTGACAATATTATAAGTATGTAGCAATGTAGTGTAATATAATTTTGGCTTTTTATAATTCTCTTGTAGTTAATCTAATTCATGTACACTACTGTATTTTGTTTTTATTGCTGTGGGATGCTTTAACATTACTAATCTCATGGTTTTTCTTGTCACATACTGTATTGTATATCTCTCATTTGTGTCATTTTCACATTCTTCTTTTCTAATCACTGTTTATTTATCCACAATATATGATACTAAACCCTACCAGAGCTAATCAGGAGCATATTCATGTAAACACAGTGCAGATGTATATGTATGTGAACCACAGTGTATCTTTCCCGATGTAAGCTATAATTTGGTCAGTGTATGTGTGTTTCTTCCCTGAACACTGTGCCCTCTTGCCAAGTGTAGGTGGTGGACATGATGAGAACCAACGTGGAGAAGGTGCTCGAGAGAGATCAGAAACTCTCCGAGCTTGATGATCGTGCAGGTATACCAGGATAGGATGCACCTTCGCTAATTACACTAGAGATTTTTTATTTGCAAAAAAAAAAAAGTATACATACATCCTCCCTGTTACATGTTTTGTACTTCAAGGTTAATGGTTTTTTCAGCATCTTGTTGGCCTCTATGGGAAATTTACGAAATAGACAATTTGCTGAATTATATCTGTGATCTTGTAGTTCAGTACTTTTAACTGCTAGTAGGCAGTACCCCTGCATTGTTTTGGCTTAATCACTGAATCAGCATAGGACACCACTGATTCTTAGATGAATAGCACAGCACTTATAGAATGTTGTTCAGAGCTTTAAGTACCTATGAATAAAAATAAATTATTTGAATGAATAGCGTGTAAGATTACTGATTACCATCAATCATGCAGTTTAAATGGACTATGATCTGACTGTAGTGGTGGCTCTGAAGCCTTTAATTTGGTCATAATATTTTTTTTAACCATTTCTTTTAAAATTTTTGCTGAAGACCAAGGGACTATTTTTTTTAATTCTTTATTTAATGGTAATTGACCTAATGAACAACTTTAAATATTTTTTTGATGTGGTACTTATGGTTTGAAAGTACTGCTCAATTTCTAATACTGTAAACATATAATTTTTGTCATGAAATTTCCCATCAAAATAAGTTAACCTTTTTGGATAAATTTTGATGAATATTTTTAGTAATGAATCTATGCAAGACGAGGTTTAAGAGACTTGTATAATAAGAATCTCAACATACACAAACAGTATAGTAATTTATTTATGGTGGATAATGCCAAATGTATTTAAACTGGTGGTGCCCTTGTGTGTGACTAGCACGGTATGGTACCTAAGGCTCTGCACAACTTTGCACATCTTGTTTAAGTTGTGATACATCTCCATAAAGTTATGTCACAATAAAGTCCCCCCACATCCCTACAGCATGGCTCTCATCATCTTTGGCAACATTCCAAGCAGCAACAACACAAGCTTAATAATAATATACTCATATGATGAAACTTGTATAATAGACTAAAGGTTAAAGCTAATTAAAGAATTTAAGTTTAGCCATGAGACTTTTAAGTTGTTAGAGGTTTTTTAATTTTCTACCCTTCAAAATTCTTACATTGTTATATTAGGCACTAATCCTCTTAAGCTTGACAGCCAGATTTTGCCACCAGTTAATAAAAAAAAACTAGCACTTGAAACTGCTATGGAGTTGTTCCCTGGGATGACTTGTAGACATTAGAGAGGACATAACATACCATCAGGAAACTTAAATATGGCTCAGCAGAGTTGCATGGAAGTTAAATGGCATCTAGATAGGTAGCCTGGCTATAGATCAACAGAATTGCATGAAAGCGACTTTGCAAAGTAAAGTCATCATTCCGTAGTTGTAGCGGTTTTGACAAGACCTGTTTATTGGTAGGGAAATGGACTTGGCTGTGGAGAGCCAATCACACACATGACCCCCCTACTGAAGTGTGACTCCCATGGCATATATTGTGGCCTCCTCCTAGTTTACATAATGTTATTTATTCCTTATCTTTTGTTTTTGCATGATTTTACCCTCTAGGGTTTTAACTTCAAAGTAATATACATTTTTATTTTATATAACTTGAGTGTTTGTGTACTAACACTTAAAACTTAATGAAGGTAACTAATCTCATGTTCTTAATTTAGAGTATACAGAACAAAAGTAATAAAGTTTGTGGAAGTCATATGAAATTTACCACGCAGAAAGTTAAGACAACTAATTAAGTAACTTTTTGTATTGGATATCTTATTGTAACTGTCATTTACAGACGTTAATTCTTGAATTGCTGGAAATTATATAATTAATATTAAATGTAACAATGGAAATGGTGCTAATGTATTCAATAAAATATAGAATTTATATAAATATTGAGTAAGGCAAGTAATTTGCAAGTAAATTTTTTATTAGAATACATTAATTTATTTGAAATCCATTAACAAAGTAGTAGTGGTAGCATTATATTGTTATAAATATTTAATTTCAACCAAATCTATTGTATTTACCTATACAGTACTGTAGTAAACTTTCAAATTTTTACGTATAGAATAGGGAAAATGTACAAGTTTTGTCACGGTGGTAATACATGATGGTGTGCTTCAGATGCCCTGCAGCAGGGAGCCTCACAGTTTGAACAGCAGGCCGGCAAACTAAAGAGGAAAATGTGGTGGAAGAACCTTAAGGTAAGCCAGAGTACCGTGCTAGAGCTCTTTAAGTTGGTTAGGAACAGGTGTGTATGACGGTGTTGAAGTTTAGTAATAGCTTGCACGTTAGGTATTTGTAAATCATTGACTTGGTATACTATAATCTTTTTAGCCTCTGAAATATAGAAAGTTTAATCACATTTTTTTTATTCTTGAATTTCAGTTTATACATTAATTCTTAAGAGTATCTATTGTCTTATCTCGGGGGGGCAATTGGCTTTCTGTTGCTATGAAATATTGTGCCTTATAGAGAATGTCTGCTATATATTTTTGGGGACTGACGAATTAGCTAGTACAGTAATCGATTTTAGTACAAATTAATTCCACACTTTTTCATTAAGAATGCATTCCTCTGAAATTTCACTAGATTGTTAAAAAGTTCACCGAGTTTAATTAAAAGTATTTAACCAATATCTTGGTTTTTCTTCTGTACGCTATATTGGGTTTTACCTTTGGTGATGTAGATAAAGTATACAGTATAACAGTACTGTATTTGTACCATATTTCTTGTATGTTAGTATAATTCTTTGGGTTCTAATGATGCAATACCCCAAATTCTTCCCGATCTGGGTACTGTGGTGCTGGCCTTTTGGTCTATTATAGCTGATCTTGCCAGGATATATATACAGTATTGTTCTTTATTCTAAATAATTTATTATATCTGAAATTAAAATAAAAAATGGCTGAATTAATTTTACTCTGAATCTTTGATGTAATTGCATATAATGATCACCTTGTTATCTGTCAGATATTCCAAACAAGGCCTTTAAATTAATGTATTTTTTATAAGGATACCTTAAGAGGGTGTTTCTATGGAGAGCCCCTCAGACTCCCTGGAGCTTACCTGACCGATATGTAAGTATTAGACTGTGGCATCGGTCAATTCAATTGGAGTTCTGTGCCTACTGGGGACCACGAGCCAGAACCTGGCCCCCCTAAGAGAGGCACGAGGAGGTGCCTAACTCGGTCAATGGCAGACATGGAATACTTCCAACCACATAGAGGTTTCTATTGGTCATTGCTCCTTGTGCGCCTCTGAGCTGGCCAGGTTCTGGCTCATGGTCCCTGGTAGGCATAGAACTCGTAATCAAATTGACTGATGCCATGGTCTAATACATACATACCAGCCCGGTAAGCTCCGAAGAGCCTCCGGGACTCTCCCAGAAAATGGGGTTTCATAAAAGTTTTTTTTTAAGGTTTCCATTCAGTACTTTAAATGCCTCGTAATATTGCCTGAATTAATGAAATTTTTGTGACGTTTTAGGTCCTTATTTTGATTTTGAACTCTCATCTCTGTTCAATTTTTAAACTAGATTTTTCTTATTGGAGAGTATACATCACTGTTAATATATTTTCTGGTTTTATGTATATAGGGAGCAGGGGAAGCTTTCTTAGATTGGCCATAATCAAACTATCTAGTTAAATTTCAGTTTTTGTTGAGAAAGCGTTCTTTAACATAAATATACAATAGATATAAATGTTGATGTAATATATATTTCTATTAATGGGGCTTAAGGTGCGAGATGTGGACAATAATTGCATTTACCAGTTTCGGTTAATCTTGGAAAAAAAAAAAACTCGCTTATCTACTGTACATCATTAATAATATTGTGCCTATTGTGTAATCTTAAATTTGTTACAATTACTGTCTGTGCACTCATCTGGTTTTCTTTGCACTTCAAAATAATAAGCTTGTTTTATTTTCTAGTTTTCTTTATCATGATTGTTTCTAATGGCGATTCTTGACGACAGATGATGATCATTATGGGCGTCATCGGTATCATCGTCCTCATCATCATTGTTGGTAAGTAACAGTGATCTATTACTTTTTGCCATTTATATTTGTGCTCAATTGATGATTTGAGGTTAAGGATACAGTGGTTGATGGGTGGCTTTATTGTTGTTACAAACTGTTCTTAGCAGTGTATGGGCTCCTGCTGAATTTTCTTGGTTACCATTGTTGAGTGGCAGAAATACGGTGCATATTGCAGATTTTGCATATTATGACAATTTTGAACGATAACGTATTATTGATCATTAATTTAAGCGATATTTTTACAGAATATACATTCTGTAAACTTGTAAAGTTAATACTTAGTCTCACCTTTTGCATTTATAAATGCTAACTTGGAAATTTGTTAACAGCCCACATTTACAGTGCCATAACCTAGTCTTATGACACAGTATATCCAGATTTTACCCAATTTTATCTTTCCTATGGAGCTTTCAGAGTTCCAGACCATTAAATAATAATGATTACACTGAAATTTTTTATAAGGTTTGGTGTTGCAGTGAGCCTTTGCTGTGACCGAGAGATCATGGTTCAGAACTGGAGGGGTGTATTATGTGAACACTCTTTGCAGGTTTATTTTAAGCTATAGATTACAGTTAATAGATAGATAGTAAACATAATAAGGAGATTAAATATACAGTACCGTTATATGATATATATCAGTCAAGAAGTTGATGTTTAGTAATGATACTGGTACAATTTTTTTGCATGACTTTGTTTGAAGTGGACATTAAAATATAGATTTAACCAAACAAACTGAATTTTCTAGTCTCTTAAACTTGGAATTTGGTTACTACGGTTTGGAAGAAATCTCTTGGCTATCCTCACGAGCCTCGTATCATATATTAGACTGTGGTAAGTAACAAAATTACGGGAATGCATATATATAGAGTATGGGTGCTAACTAGTAGAGGTTTGGCTCTTGGGCTAATCATAAAGGGAGTATTTTTGTTAGGATAGCATGAAATATTTTCTTCAGTTAGGGTAGCATGTGTAGGATGCTATTGGGATAGTTATTTTTATGTATATTTATTTTTAACTTCCTTATCTTGGGTCACTAAATGGTAGCACATCTCTATTATTTAATGCTTTGAATGATATTTCAAGAGAAAGTAATTGGTTTAGCCGTCTTGACCCAAGAGACCCTAAAATTCAATTCTTTGTCAACATTTCCACCCCATGAAAACATGACTCATCCCCAGACCTGTGCAACTAACGCTTACTTGTTACTAATGAGCAGTGTGTTGTGATGAAGTTTGGTGTTGCTGGTGTCGGATCCTTACTCACTGGTCCAGTAATGCAGCCTTAGAGCAGCTCACCTCCTCCTACTTTTAACATTATAATATAAAAGTAAAAATAAATTCTAACTTAAAATTTGGTGTTACCATTTTCTAAGATTTTATGGATTTAACACTATCACTGGTAGGATATAACCTTTCTTAACCCTTTCTCTGTGGCACATAATTTTTGCTTAGGTTACCTCAGAAGGCTGCAATGGGCTAAAATATAAATTATAGTACAAAAACCCTTCTCTATCTATCTACAACATTAGGATATTATAAAAAGAAATTATAATGGATGGTGGGAAGAGACAGGAATTTATTATTTTTTAATAGAACATGCAGTATCATCCAAGTACAATAGCTTTATAGCGGTCCATAACTGATCCCAAAACACCCAGTACGAAAATTGTGCAATTGCCATTGTTGGGGGAACAGGAAGCCTATAAGGCCTATCGAAGTTCCTCTTGCCAATGAATGGCTCTTTCCCAGAATGCAACCAATGACAGTTGCCCTACTGCCACTTATTGCTAGATGGAGAGGCATCATGTGTAAGGAAACTTACCCAAATGTTTTGCCCTGCCCAGGAATCAAAATCTGGTCCAATCAACCAATTTGCCAAAGGAGTCTTTCCATTTTATTACATTTCTAATAAGAAAATTACGGCTTGTACCATATTTTCCATGAAAAATCATTCACCATTGATTCATTGGGGCCTCGTAGCCTGGTGGATAGCGCGCAGGACTCGTAATTCTGTGGCGCGGGTTCGATTCCCGCACGAGGCAGAAACAAATGGGCAAAGTTTCTTTCACCCTGAATGCCCCTGTTACCTAGCAGTAAATAGCTACCTGGGTGTTAGTCAGCTGTCACGGGCTGCTTCCTGGGGGTGGAGGCCTGGTCAAGGACCGGGCCGCGGGGACACAAAAGCCCCGAAATCAACTCAAGATAACCTCAAGATAACCATCGCACTCCATTGCAGCCACCCGTCGTCACTCATTTTTCTCACGATTCTGAGTGAGTGACTATGGCTTGCATCATATATTAAAATATTTGTAAAAAATTCAATTTTTATCCTATCAACTTCTGGGTGGTTTCAAAATGAGCATCTTTAGTTTGTGCACAATTTGATACCAAAATGAAAGCCATAACACACACATTTATGTCAGAACACTGGAAAGATATAAATAATTTTGTGGCGATGAGCGTCAAAAAGTGCCCAAAATTTAAAATATTTGTTAAAATTCCATTTATTGTTCTATTATTATGGGACTAGTTTTAAAATACGTGCCTTTATATTGCAAACAATTTGATACCAAAATGAAGGACGTGATGCGAAAATTGATGTCAGAAAGGTAATAGATGTCAAAGATGATAAATACTTTTGTGGTCCAAATTTTAAAATATTTGTTAAAATGCCATTTATTGTTCTATTATTATGGGACTAGTTTTAAAATACGCGCCTTTATTTTACGAATAATTTGATACCAAAATGAAACGCGTAACACGAAATTTGTTATCGAACTGAATGAGAATATACATTAGTCTGTAGGTGTGCCAGTTGGTGCTCATTCACGTGTAACTTGGCCGACTTTAGGCTTTGCTGTGGGGAGTCACTCCGGGCTCTTGGACCTTATATGCATATACCCTTGTTGGGAATTCTTTTGCAAACCCAATGATACCAAAACAAACGACGTAGCACGAGAATTAAGGTGAGAAAACTGAAACGAGTATACACTTTTTGGTGTCGCCGCACGCTCGCCCACATCCAACGGTGCATAATGTCATTTCTGCATCGCGCACGAATGGTGCGCGATAGTGTTTAAAAGGTTTTTGGATAATGTATAATAAAAAATTTAAATATTTGTCTTTATTATATACATGATATGGCCCTAATAATGTGATACCAGGCTATAATTTTTTTTTGAGATATATACAAGAGTTGTTACATTCTTGTACAGCCACTAGTATGCGTAGCGTTTCGGGCAGGTCCCTGGAATATAATCCCCTGCCACGAAGAATCTTTTTTCAGTCAAGTACACATTTTACTGTTGCGTTAAACAGAGGCTACAGTCAAGGAATTGCGCCCAGTAAATCCTCCCCGGCCAGGATACGAACCCATGACATAGCGCTCGTGGAACGCCAGGCGAGTGTCTTGCCACTACACCACGGAGACTGCATTCATTATCAACATCAATATAATCAATAAATGTTTGACAAGAAATTTTGTACAAGTTGCAAAATACAATTAAGAAGAATTCTGTGGCCTTTTTTCCTGGTTGTACCATTTAATTTTTTATTTTTATTTTTTATTGATACATGATAAAAAAAAAATGCTCATACCTTATTTACCTTTTAGTCATAGCACTCAATATGGTAGTCTTGAAAAACTTTACCAAAATTTTCTCCCCTTCCCTGTTTACAGTAATAAATCAACTCCATATCCTTCAAGATTTATAATTTATCATTTTCACATAATGGTATGCTGTAAAAAAGCAAACGTTAAATATTTTGAAAAAATAAACAGTACTATTTGTGAACTGTGGGGGAATGGGAAGTTTGAAGGAGTCATTTTGCAGACTACCACTTTGGTTGTCACTAAATTCTGTTGCCGTTAGATGGCAGCACATGCTGGATTCAGGCACCAGTTTTTAAGTCGAGAACATGGTAAAGGATTACATAATTTGAAAACTTTTCTAGTCATCTTAACATTTGCAAATCATCTCTGGAAATGACTATATTTTATCTAGTTGCCTGTTATTGTCTATTGCAAAAGGGTTAAGAAATAGTTTAGGAGTAACATAAAAGTTTTCTAGACTAGGTGAGCTGCTCCCCTTATAGCAGAGTTGCATTACTGTACTTGGTATACAGTAGTAAGCTTTAGTATGGTCAATATTGTGCAATAAAACCCTGGTGATAATCATTAATATTTACAAAAAATATTGACTTGCTGTTAGTGTTGACAGTACATTAACACTTTCGCTGCCCGATGATGCATGTTCATTCAAAACCAAAATAGAGTATGCCCAATGATGCAACTGGCATCAATAATTTTTAGAAATTTGTAGAAATTTCATTTATTGTCCGAATACTATGCGACTTGTTTTCAAATGTGCGCTAACTTCTGCCCATTCTCTGTATACCCCAAGTGGCATCCTGACCCCACCATGTGGGCTCCCACCCACACTGGAGGCTCATTGTTCTCGTGACAGCCAGACCCTCCCCTTGAGTCGAAAGGTTTCCCCCATTCTGGTTATTTTATCTTGTGTATTTGTTTTACTGTGTTGCAGTGTTTTTATAAACACTGCAAATTGACTTCCAGATGGATACTGATCAAGAACGGCCAATCCATGACGAAAGTATTGAAAAAATGTGTATGGGGGTAAAGTTATAGGGTTATCGTTGAAAATATAGAAAAGTGCAAGTTATGTTCTTACATTCAAATACCCCTTTACAACATTCTATTGTAAACAATTTGATACCAAATTGAAAGATGTAGCACAAAAATTGTTGAGAAAGCTAAAAAGAATATAAACGTTTGTGGGTGGTGGTGAGTTAGCACGCACTGCACGGCCACCTTGAGGTGCGCAGCAGGTCCATGTGCCACAAAACCTTTATAATGCCAAAATTACATGAAATGCTAAACCTAGCAACACTGGTTACTTGTTAGTTCTCATAGTCAGTGTTACTGTTTTTTTTTTTCTTGCTCCAGTTTCACACTTTCGTGTCACATGCCCCACAGAATTCATTGATTTAATCTTGCATAATGTTTCGACTGGCAATACAAAATGACTTTATTCTTTACTCGTTTTCTTTAGGAGAACTGTATCTATTACTCTTGATGCTACTCTTTTTAACCTTTAAAGTGCAGTTATTATCATTAGTTGATTCACAGGATAATGAGGGTATCATACATCTAAACTATTATTGTCTGTTTTTCACGAGTGATGCTACTATGGATATAATAGCTCTATATGGATGTAGTGAAGTTTATCTTGACCCATGAATAGTTTCTGCTGCTTCACGATTACCTTGTTATGCAAATGCAGTTACGTCAGAAATGTTACTATGCCGAATAGGTAATTACCATGATTACCTTATAAAATTTCATTTGAACTACTGTACATGATACTATATGTATACTATGTTCATATGGTTTTCACAATTATATGATTGCATTGAATGAAGTACTGTATATCTGGTCAACCAGTCCATCATTTGAACATTAAGGAACATCAGAAGGCCTATTGACCCATACGAGATTGCCTCATTTATATCGACCCAAATTCATTCCAACCCGTTCACGCAAATTTAATAAGTCAATATTGACTTATTAAATATGTGCATAGGTGACATACTTATCATAATAGTTTCCCTTGAAAAGCTTCATAGAAAACACCGACCTTACCTAACCTACTTAGTTCGTTAAGATATGCATCTTATTGCTTCGTAATTACAATTATTACCTAACCTATACCTATAATAGGTTAAGTAACAATTGTAATTACGAAGCTATAAGATGCTTATTTTAACATACTAAGTAGGTTAGGTAAGGTCGGTGTCTTCTATGAAGCTTTTCAAGGGAAACTATTATGTTAAGTATGTCACCTATGCACGCAACTAATAAGTCAATACAGTATTGACTTATTAAATTTGCGAGAACGGGTTGCAACATTCATATACAGTATGGGGCTATTGGCCCACATATGAATGGGTTTGGGAAGATATAAATAGGAACTGCTTCGTATAGGCCTTATGCAGTTTCCGTACTCAGTGTTGATCTTGGATTTCTAGATGGTTATTTGTACACCGATACATAAATACATCAATTCATTCATACATATCAGTGTAAAAACAATCGTCTAGATACCCAAGGTCAACACAGTCATCTTGCTCAGCCACTGTGGGGCCTCGTAGCCTGGTGGATAGCGCGCAGGACTCGTAATTCTGTGGCGCGGGTTCGATTCCCGCACGAGGCAGAAATAAATGGGCAAAGTTTCTTTCACTCTGAATGCCCCTGTTACCTAGCAGTAAATAGGTACCTGGGAGTTAGTCAGCTGTCACGGGCTGCTTCCTGGGGGTGGAGGCCTGGTCGAGGACCGGGCCGCGGGGACACTAAAGCCCCGAAATCATCTCAAGATAACCTCAAGATAACTGTAAATAGCTGCTGGAAGGTTTGATGCAGACAGATGGGTGTTGGGCTGCCACACATTCCACTTGCAGGGTAGATATTCAGTTTATTTCCTGTTTTCCATACATTTTACATGCAAATTAATCGTTATATAAGACATTATTTTCACATAGGTGGATATGCATACAAATTTATAGCTGCACTTCAGGGTTTAAAAAAAATTTAAGGCATTATATAGAGGCATCAGATAACCATTTCATTACCAGGGTTTTACTGTACTTGGTTTTGGCATTTAATTCCATACCTACAATTGTTTTTTGTTATTAAAATAACCACCAGATTAAAGATTGAAATGTAGCCAATTCAAATTAAGCCTTTTTTAATTTCTATTACAAATGTGTTTAAGGGGTTCTCTACTTTCTTTATGATCACATCAAATGTTTTCCCAAATGTTCTTGTTTGGTGTGTAAGGATCCGAGCTCCAGTTTCAGCTTAATATGGTGTTGGTGTTTACAGTGTTTGGTTGTATGGGTTTTATTTCCCTGATTTCAATAAAGTATTATAATTTAATAGCATAAATTAACATGAAGTCTAACCCCGAGTTTTTCTCTTATAGTTTACTTCATGTAAATCGCCGTGTATCAATGTCTTCTGTATGTGCGCTCTTGACAAAACAAAAATAAAGGTCAGGCTCTGTGTGAATGTATGATGCCCTGGTGTGTGTTGACGTGTCTTCTAATTGTTTCATCGTGTGTACTAACTGTTGCTCACACAGACACACTCTCCTTCATGGAGTACTATCGCCCATGTGTGCAATGAACCGGTGAACTAGAGTAACCTGTATTGTTTTGTTAAAGTTATAGTGCAGACCAGAGTGGATACACTATTTTGCCTGGGTAAGTTAATCAAAGTGTCTTGTCCCGGCATTAATATTGACACATTTTGTTTTTGCTCACTCGCAGGCATTTAATTGGATTGTTAACTCCATGAAGGTGAGGGATAGTGCCTCTGGTGATATTGGTGTTGGTGGTTGTAGCTCTGATGTAGTGGTTGGTTGGCAGTAGCAGCACTTGAGAAAGCTACAGTTTATGGGTAACAGCCGACATTTTGATTACGGGAGGATATTTTTTGGTAAGCCCCCTGCTTAAAGCCATTGTACAGTACTTAAAAATAAGTCTGAGGACAAAGTATTTTGCTATTATTTAAAAAAGATTGTACAGTATTAGTTTCATTGGCACTGTGAAATGAAATTGTTATAAATTCCACATCCCCTAGAGCATTAAGTGGTGATAAAATCTTAGTGAGTAGCTCCCTAGTAGGTTAGTGGTTTTAATAACTATTGTCACCCATGAACTACAGCTCCCTCCCAGGTGTCTGTTAGTGTAGGGCATTCACATACCATCACTAAGTGAGATGTGCAGCAGTTCTGAGCCTTCTGCATAGATGCAATAGGGCTCACAATAGCTGACCTCATCATGCATGTGCAGTTACCGAGGAACCTGTACAACTGGTGATGGCTGGTGGGGTGGGGGACGGGTTCCTTTTTTTGCTCTTTTTTCTTGGTATATATATATATATTTTTTTTTTTTAATCACATACTAATACCTCTTGTTACTCTAGACCTGAGTCAGACCTGTATCGGTGGGCGCCTAGTCAAGTCTTTGTGGCGTCACAGGTGGGCTCGATCTCTTTCTCTACAACACCATCATCATCGTCTCGGCGTTATGTACCTGTCTCCCTTCTTCCAGTTGATATTGCCTTTAAGAACTGATAAAAATTTACACCACTTTTCCTTTCCTGCCTTCTTTTCGGTGCAAAGGGCCCTATCTTCCAAAAGGAAGTGAAAACAAGACGGAAAATGTAGTCAACACTAACGCTCAACCCATCAACCCAACAACCAACACCATGATGAATAACGCCAATAACGCCCCTCACTCTTTCCAGTCAAGTTGGGCTTAGTCGAGGTGTAGTGAGTCACCTCTCTCCTCTCACCTACTGTGAGGTAACGAGATCTACAGTTCACGGGAATGGTCCACTGGGACACAGTTTACACTCTATTTGTAAACATTTATACTTAAGGCAGAATGCAAAGGTGCCTCCATTAGAGACACAGAATGCCAAATATGAGGAACTTGCAGTTGCCTCGCTATCACATACACTAGGGGTAGTTTTCATTTTTTCGCGGAGGTTGCGTGGTTGCCTGGTTACCTCGGTTTTTGAGGAATGACTCATCTATACATGGCTTGACTTTCCTGATTGTGTATACATGATTATTTAATTAGTATCAATACAGTAGAAGTTTAGTTATATAAGAATTTGGTTTAATTTGAGCAATTTCAAATACAAAAAGTAAATGCAATGCATTAATCAGGAAAGTGAGGTTTTAGGCCCTACATGAGAGACACTGGTGCCAACTTGTTGGTCGTGCACGCAGCTTGTACTTGCCTGCTTATAAAATCTTATCTGCTAGAATGGTCTGTTCATGCAACTTGTATGTTCCTCATGCACTTTACATGCATCATACACGCACCTGGCACCCTTGACATTATGCAGGCTACACCTCGTAATCAAATTAAAATTAGATTTTGAAGCACTGTGTATACAGTATTCATGTAAGCATAAAATATTAATATATGATTAATTATTAAGTTAAATTCTGTAATTAAATTTAGAGGTGTAAATTGCATTGTGTGTAGTGTGCTTTTTTCACTCATTTGAAATACTGTACTGCACCTTTTAAGAAGTCATTTTTGCTCTTCTAACTTATGCAGTGGGATGATGCACGAGTCCATCTTTACTCCACATCCATGGAAGGGATTCTATTCTCAACTTTATTCCAAATTCTATTTTTTTTTTCTTTTACCAACAAAACCTTTGCTCTTGATTAAATCCTTGTAAACAACATAGGTAATGGGAAAGAGATTACTTTGAACTTGGAGGGAAGCTTATAATCTTGAAATAGTATCTGAAAGTGACATTTTAGGTGCTTTCTATGTTACCATGAAAATGTACGTAAATTAAATTTTTTATACTGTATTTGGGAGGGCATACACTAGAAAAATGTTTTGCACCATGATCTTATATACTGTATCAAGACAAAGGTCAATAATGGCAATATTACAGACTATACTTTTATATTGTGTAAGTCTTGTCCTTACTGTTGGTATTTAGATTTACAAAGTTGCCTTCAAATTTTCATGGCGGAATAGGGTATTTTAACAGGGGACAGGAGTTGAATTCCTTGTCCTGGACAACTAGACTACTGACTAAAACCATGGATGTATAATCTGTGGCATTGGAGTTTGGACCATGTATATATGCATAAACCAAGTAATACTTTTTAAGCTAGGTAATTTAGTAGATTTGGTAGTAATATGTATGTACTGTACCTGCATTGGAAGCACTTTCGGATGAGGTTAGATATAGTACATTTAGAGTAGAAGTGAGTCTTTATTCTTGCTTAACTAAACTGGGGATATTAAAAAATCGTCTGAAGATGATCTAGTTAAAGTATTACAGTTTAGTAGACTAGTGAAACTAGGTAAGCAAGAGTGTTGACCCGTGATCCGACGTGTAGACACCGGTGGTCCTAGAATAGATGGTCGTTGCTGCACATAACGATCGTTTCCGAAGGTGGCAACTATGGCTGGACACTATGCTGTAGATACTGTCTACGTCACTACTACTACACTTTTTTTACCTTGCGTTAATAACTTTGTTGTGATTGTTTTTCTCAGGTTATGCATGACTAATATTAACTAAAGGTTTGCATGAGCATTTTATCTTGTATGTTATATATTTACATTGAACTTTTGATGTATATTGCATTTTTTTTATTCAATTCAAAGTTTGGAATTTTCTTGTATTTCAATTATTTCATAATTTAATTAAATATTATTGAAATTTTCTGAATAATTTTAAATAAAGTTTTTGGAATTTATTTTACGTATAATTTTATTTGACTAAAAATTTTCATTAATTTATCAGTTCACTCTGCAATATACAAAATCATTATTTATTCCATACATTGTGGGTTCTTATATAAAGTTTAAACTTTGATTTTTTTTTTTTTTATATATGCAATTTTACTTTTGTGGCTTTGTTTTATGTTAAAGGTTTATTTTGGTGGGCCTAAATCGGATAAAATAACCTTCCAAATAATTGCACTCTACTTCAGGAATTGTGGCAGGTATTGGTGCCTCTTGTTAATCCAACCAGTAAAGTGAAACTGGTACAGCTTATCAATAGTACAAAATTTTTATATATATATATATATATATATATATATATATATATATATATATATATATATATATATATATATATATATATATATATATATATATATATATATATATATATATATATATATATATATATATATATATATATATATATATATATATATATATATATATATATATATATATATATATATATATATATATATATATATATATATATATATATATATATATATATATATATATATATATATATATATATATATATATATATATATATATATATATATATATATATATATATATATATATATATAAATATATGTATATATAATATATATATATACTGTATATAATTTTTTTTTTAATTGGAAAATAGGTCCCTAGGCATGTTACACAAACATGCCTAGTAATTTTAATTACTTTTGTTTCCATAACTAATTTTAGTGGCTGCAATTCTACTAACATTTCAATGCTTTATGGTATCCAGTTAATGGTGGTCTTGATCATTCAGAGCATAACATTTCCTTTAATTTTTTCTATTTTATATATCTACTGTATATATTTATTTATTTATATTTATTTATATATATATTTATATATTTTTTGTTTGCTTAAATTGTTCAGACAAATGTAGTGTGCTGAATTATCATGCGACTTACTGGAACTTGTAGGCACAAGGTATTGACTTGGTTCTCTTCTGGGTGATAATGTACCCAATTTTGCCGACATCCTCTGAAACGTCCAGAGAGATCATGGTACAACAAGAAGTTCTTGCTCAAATTTTGGATACTTAGATATGCTAGTGAAGCAAGGCAAGCTGGGAAGGTATTAAAAGTGAATGCCATCTTGCCATTTGCAACAATTAAATCATTGCAAGGTTGCCTTGTTTGCCTAGTGTGTTTAAGTAGGTGAAGTGTATCATGTGATGTCTAAGGCTAGAGCATCGTTATTTTACTAGACTTTACTGAAACATTGTTGGCCTGCTGCTGTGCGTGTACTGGTGAGTAGAGGCACAATTGTTGGGCAGTAACTACGTGTATTACAGTCCAGTAACTTTACACATGACTGGCTATTGTTCATTAACTGTGCACCTCCCAGTTAGTATTGTTACAGGGTTTGCTACCAAATAATTAGCCTTTTGTGCCATTAGCTACTTCCTGTAACAGGCTGAGGAAAATGTGGAAACAACAACTGAAATGCTTTCTAATAATTTTACATGAAAGTTCATGTGTGCATAACATGCACATTATACCAGAAGGAATACAGAATTATATGAACATGTTTGCTGATGACAATAAGCTACTAGGGAAGATAAATGATTGTCATGCCCTTAAAGAAGCCCTGGACAAAATAAGTGTATGGAACAACACTTGGCAAATTGAATTTAATGTGCATAAATGCCACATTATGCAATGTGGAACAGAAGAAAATAAGTCTCACACAACCTACAAATTGTGACAATGCTTCAAAGAATGCTGATTTAACGAAAGAGTTCTAGGGGTGGCTCTGGATAGAAAAGTCACCCGAGGACCACATAAAGAACAATGTGAGAGGAGTGTATGCTATGCTTTCCAATTTTAGAATCACTTTTAAGTACACAGATGGTGAAATATTAGAGAAACATAAATTTGCATATATTCATGCCATTTACTTGCCAATGGCAATAGTTTTATATCCAATAGCATTATTAGCCCTCATTTACATGTTATTCACTTGTATACACTTGCAATATTACCATATAATTGCAACTTGTTCAAATGTGTGTATACGGTGGCACCTAAACTTACGACTGCCCCTACTTACGAATTTTTCGAGTTACAACGTAAATTTTGAATCACGATCTTTGCCTTGACTAGCGACTTTGTTGATGTGTATGGGTCGATCAATTGCGTAGTAACTGGTGGCACGGCCGACCCCGCCTCGGTTTACCAGAGTCACCCACTTGGTGACAATCGTGCTTGTGAAGAATTTCATTATTTTCCTGGGGGGGAGCCCCTACGGCTTCCCGGAGCTATCCAGGCTGATATGGATACCCTAACTATTTTGCATCATTCTGGGGCCACCCTTCCCCCTCCGATGGGGGAGCTGCACAGACATGCGGCGCGGCTCGTGTGATGCCATGCTTGTTTCCTCGTTTTTCTTTTGGGGTGTTCTGCCTGGTCGATGGCAGATATAGAATGCTCCAAATCACATGTGCATTTTTATGGGCCATTGCTCCTCGTGCCAAAAAACAAGACAAGACAAAAAACAAGAGTTACGAGGAAAGGCTAGAGGCGTTAAATATGCCAAAGCTAGAAAATAGAAGAAAAATGCGATATGATCACTTGCAAAATAACAGGAATTGACATAATTGACAGAGGGATTCCTGAAACCAGCAACTTCAAGAACAAGGACATAGATTCGAGCTAAGGAAACAAAGGTACCAAAAAAATATTAGTTTTTTCTGCAAGCAGTGTGGTAGACGGTTGGAACAAGTAAAGTGAGAAAGTGGTGGAGGCCAAAACCGTCATTAGTTTCAAAGCATTATATGACAGAGTACTGGAAAGTCGGAACACCATGAGCGTAGCTCTCATCCTGTAACTACACTTGGGTAATTACATTCATTCTGCTGGGTTGGCATCAATGTTAACTTTGTTTCCCCACATTTTGCATATTATTAGCTTTTTATTTTTCCCACCCCCCCCTTTATACATTTATTGGCTTTAAACTGCACATACAGCTCCAGTTACTGTACATGTGGCTAGTTTGTTGCAGTTTCAACCACTTGTACATTGTTTTGTTATGGGCAGGTAACAGTCAATTACCGAGTAACTGGCTGGCTGGTGTGGAGTCACTGGCTGCTGCACAGTTTAAGCTTATTGGTAATGGCCAGTATACTCACATTATTGGCTGACATTTGTACTCTACTGGCCAGAAGGTGCACAACCAGTGGGCAGAGGTTGCACTCAATAGCATGAAGCTTAATACTGATCTTAAGTGACATAGATCAAGGCTGAAACATAAGAGCTCATCTGGCAGACACTTTATCTTCCTTCTCACCACCCTCAGCAGCTCTTGATGAACTAGGAATGTAAATGGTGATGAAGTGCAGAATTTTGCATAATAAAGGCATCAGAAGCCATATTAATTTTTTTTAACCATGCATTTTTGCAAATTAATAATTGAGGAAGACCATGCAAAATTCTCTCAAATTTTGGGCCATATTAGTTAAAACTACTAATGGTTGATGCACCTTGTACAACTTTACCTGCATTTTCAGTTTTCTCCACTATGGTTACTGCACTTCTAATTTTTTGTTTTGCTTTTCACACATTAGTAGCTCACGTATTTCGGCAAAATAATGGCCAGGTATATATGCCGATCAGGGAACCAGTTGCTTGAAATACTGTAGCCTGTGTAGAATAAGACTATTTTGTCAAGGTTTAGCTTTTAGGATTTTCAGATAAAAATGGCATAATTTGTTGGAAACGGCAAGAATGAATTTTTTTTTTTAATATTTGCTGCTTCAACTGATCAGAATCAAGAGCTTATTATGGAACATTTACTAACTCATATGTTTGAATGGATAAAAAATAAAATGCTAGTGGAGGGTGAAAATTAATGATTGTGAATGGAAAGACTCGAGCGATGGGTATAGTGAGTGAGGACATGCTTAAATGGATGGAGCACTTGTACCTTCACAGTAGGTGTTAAGAATGGGTGGAGCACTTGTACCTTCACAGTAGGTGTTAAGAATGGGTGGAGCACTTGTACCTTCACAGTAGGTGTTAAGAATGGGTGGAGCACTTGTACTTTCACAGTAGGTATTAAGAATGGATGGAGCACTTGTACCTTCACAGTAGGTATTAAGAATGGATGGAGCACCTGTACCTTCACAGTAGGTGTTAAGAATGGATGGAGCTCTTGTAACACTGTAGTGGGCATTAGGAATGGATAGAAATAACCTATTTTGTGGATGGATTACAATGTTTAATTTTTAGTATTTGAAGAGGGCTTTCTTGCTTTTAGATTTTGAGCAATAAATCTTGTTAACTTGGAAGCTGAATGATGATAGATTTCCTTGTGTTGATTTTATGAATGTAGTTTGTTATAAGGAGGTTATTGTTATTACATATTTGTGCAGTAGTTGTATTGTGTGAATGGAATGAGGTGTCTTTAAAATATGAGGCAAACATTTGTGGTCATTTAGTGTGAAATAGTTGATTTTGTGAATGAAGGTGAGACTAATATATTTGAATGAGCTAGAGTAAAGTGAGTTTAAATAAGACAGGTGCAACAAACCCAAATGTCTCATTCGAGTGACGAGGGAATTTTTTGAATGTTCAGTATTAAGAAGATCAAATATGACTGAATGTGAATGATCAGAAATGAAATTCACTTTTATATTAATGTTAATTTGTTTAATTTGATTTTCTTATAAAAATTGGCATAGTATTAATTTAAAGGGTTACTTTTTCACTACTTATAGTTATGCCTGAGGAAATTCTGTAGTGTTCTTGGTTTTTTGGTAAAAAAATATTTGTTCATTCCATTCCTTGGAATATTTTAACATATTGCATAGTACTGGTAGTGTGATATTTTTTCAAAACGACAAAGATAATTGTTCCATGCTATTAGTAAAACATTCCAAATATTGTTTGGAATGAAGAAATAGACAAGTTTGTGGGAGAATGAGGAAGAACGAGAGGATTGGTTTTCTGCCCGCCAATATGTTCCTTCCCCTTGCTGCTTTAACCTGCAACGACTGATGCCAAGCCTCTCTCTTACATGCAGCCTGGGCAGCGAGCTAAATTGCTTTTCAGGACAGGTGTGGTGAATCTGTGGGTGAGAGCTTCATTACAAGAAAAAAAAAGCTTTTTTGAACATAAGGTCTTGCTAAGATACCACTAGTTAGGATCATAGCCAGGAGGAGCAGTAGAATTTTGACAATTTTCTCACTTGCATATTGGTGTTAATGATGCATTTTTTTCCGTGCCATTTTTATTTAGTTTCATACATGCGCAGACTGAGTGCAGGTCTCGTGGGCAAGAGCCTAGAAATATATGGATAAGTGAAGTAAATAATTTTCCCTTTATGTAGTATAAAGTATATTTTAATTACTCCTGGTTTGTTTCAATTCTCTAAAGGGTGCTAGAGTGTGATAGTTTAATTCCCGCCCCCAAGCCCAGGGAATTCAGGGGTGGGTACGGTCCAGACCCTCCCATGGTGAACTGGGCTTGAAAATTAGGTGCAAATGTATGGATATTGTGTGTGGGTAGGGTTCCTTCCTTTAAGATTCTTGTTTAGGGTGTGTCCAGTGCCCTCAAACAACCAACCTTGGGAATAAATTACATTATATATATACTGTATATATACATAATCGTTATCAGTAGAAGAAATCTGCTCTCTGTCTGCAATAATTTTTTTTATTTTTTACATATTACCTTGTGTAAATCTTTTTCAGTTTTCATTTGTATGTTCCTGAACGAGGGTTGTTCCAGATTTGTAGTTTGCATGTGCCTTATGTTTTTTTCCCCCACTCAAACACAAGCTGTTGGCGAGTTAGATAAGGTCATGTCGTTTCCAGGTTAAGTCACCCGTCTTTTTGCTGTTGACTTGCCCTGTACAGTCTTGTAGTCATAAGTCTGAAACTTTGTACAGTTTTAACTCTAGATGTTCTTCATGCAAAGTGTTTAGTGACTTCCTTCCTCATAGAGTATATACTGTAGTATACCTTCTTGATTCAATTGCAAGAGTTTCTTAATGTATCTGTTGTTGATGATCTTACCCTGTTTACCCACTCACTAGAGTAAGATATATCTGGTAAGAGCAGTTCTGCTTTAGACACCTAGGTATTAAGATGTGAAACTACTCGTAATAGTCGGCTTTCACCCATTGATCTCATAATACGTAGTTGAGAGCACCTGCAGCTTGTGTTAGATCTATTATAATGGTTTAGTTTGCCCACAATATGTTTTGCCTCATGGCTGTTATTCTGTTTTTGTTTTTTTTAAACTAGTTTGGGCCGTAAGTGACTCGCAGTGAAGACGAGCAGCTGGGCTTAGATGAGAAGAACGAAGTGGTGTGGTGACTGTCGTGGATGTCAATTGTTAGGTCTGGATTGATTGCTAATGTAAATATTACTATGAATCATCTGCCAACATCCATGGTATCATTGTAATTAATGGATGGAAGTACCACAAAACAGTGTTCACTAAATGGCTAGTATGCTACCAACAGATTCAGCATCTTATGATTAGGGGTCTCATCATTATCTTTGAATTCATCGTCAACTTAGGAATTTTTGTAATGACTTTTGCCTATTGAAAATAAACACCTATTTTCCCTTTTATAATTATGAATATCTTGCTAGTCATTTGGCACTAATACATGAATATAAAGTATAAATTAAATATATATATATATATATATATAAAAGGAAGTGAATCTGTTATTTATTTCTTATCCTGATTTGATATTTATATTTTCCTGTAAAGGGCCTTTCCCGAGACTACCATGGATAAAAGTCCTTTGTTTGAGAGCACATTTATGTCCTAAGTTTTGGCTAAGTAAGGCCCTCTTCTGGAACAGCCCTATTTCATCATTCCACACCATTAGTGGGTCACGGTTTTAATGTTTTCTGCTCATTTTGCTTAAGGAAGTTTCTACAGCTTCTATCGTTACAGTCCCAGAGAGGAAGGACCTGTGGCAAGTATTACCAGTCTTATCATGCCCAATTGGCAAGAAACTCCACAGTGGTTAGAGAATGTGCCTTCTGCAGTTGATTGTAAATTTTCCTCCGGTCCACAGGTTCCTCCTGTCTGGTAAATTTATCTTTTAAGTGCATAGAAGGAATGTTTGTGTTGTAGCAGGAGGCACACCAGAGGCAAGTGATGCCCTTGGGTAGCAGTGTTGCCATTCCATGCCCTGAGGTGTCAGTTGTGCTACTCTCGCACTTGGTTGCCGGACATGTATCGTATGGTAATTTATTATGTATTATATATTTTAAGCGTCAGCAGAGTACGAGTGACATAAAATCTACGCAAAGGGTTTGGACTGGTATCACTAGCTATTACTCGACTTGTGGGGTGCCTCCCAAATATGACCCAAAAACTCGGATTAAAGTGCCCAAGTTATTGTATCATAATATCCCCAAAGACTTTATGGCTTGTTAGATGGTGTGTGAATAGGCTTGGTATAACCCAATGTTTACATCCAGAAGCCTAATCGTTATTATTAACAATTATTATTCTTTAGGAGTCCAACATATCTACTGCTCTGTAGTGATGTATCAAAGTAGAAGTAATATTACTCTGTTAAACGTGAAATATAGTGTGTTTATGTCTGTCATTTTTTTATTATGCCCTTGTATGTAGTGTGGAAGTGTGTTGGTAAAGTGAGAAGGGTGATTTTTGTAATTTTTATTAAGAAAAAAAAAAGGAAATTGGCTTGCTTGTTTTAACACAAGTTACTGATCACTTAAATTGCTTTCAGTATTTTTAAAATTATTATTTTATCAAAACTTACTCTTGTAATTAAAGTAATAAGACATTTAAAAGAATATCACCAACTGGGCTTATTGGTTTTCTGCAATCTAATGAAAAGTTTTGGTAAGAGAATAAATTCAAATTTCATTTTCTTTCATATTGATAAGAGGAATTGCCCTTCTCCATTCCCTGTTTGTATATGGGAAAGACAATTGACCCCCTTCTCTTTCCTGGATAATTTTTGGATATTTATATATCTTTGCATTCTCTAATAGTGAAAAATTGTTCTGTAACTTATCACAAGGTCAGTTTTTTTATTTATCATGCCTCTTCACTTTCATAACCAAAACTCATGGCCCAGTTTTAAATGAGTGCAATTCAGTGCAATTCCAGTTCAAAATGACTACTTAACCCCAAACATTCTGTTTGGTTTAATATTGTGAAGTAAGTGTAGAGGCAATTAAGTGTATTTTCATTGGTGTGTAATTGTTGTACATGTCTCATATTATTGGTCATAACTTACATGTACATACATATATGACAGTTTACACAAACATTTTGGCATTCCGCAGGGTCTGTCAGACATTATTACTTTCCCTATGTTTGATGATACAGTACACGCATGATAAAACCTGCTAGTTATGGTAATCATCAGTTTACTATGAGGTTGTACTTGAAGTACAATGTGTATTAAACTGTGACCATCGTTAGTTTATATTTGTTGTCTTGTCTCTCACCTCCCCCCACACCTCCCTCTCAACCCCCCAGAACTCTTCCAAGAGGGCAACCAAGACGAAGTGTCCAGGTGGCCATATCCATGCATCATCTAACCTGTTTAATAAGCTTTGTTCTCACTAAACTATGCTTCCTTTTGTTAATGAGTTATGTAGCTTGGTGATTTTTATTTTTTTTTATAACTACAACACCTGCTCGTCACCTTCATCCTCAACAATTCACACACAACCTACATCCCACATACATCCACATTCGTACTCGGACTACAGTTTACCATCAAGCCCACCAACTGACCACCTTCACATTAAACGTCCACCTGTACTATGCCTACACGCATCTATTTCAAGTATTGCGCATCACACCAATAATCCATCCTGCCGACACGAACCAAGAGAAACGGAGGGGGGGGGGGCTAATTGTAGTTTTCAGAATATTTTGTATGCTTTTTGGTGGTCAGAATTTTTATATGTAAGAATATTTCAGATTATTTGTCAAGATGTTCATGGTGTGGGGGACTAGGGATGCTTCCTTCAATCGACTGCACTTGTAGAAAAAATAAAGTTATTGCAAGTTATAATGTGATTTGTTAAAGTAATTCAGAAGGTTTATTAACTAATAAGTTAACACATATTAATTAAGAAATATATATAGTACAACAGCGTTACCCCTAATAATTATTAATGTAGATTAAAGGTCAGTTTGTATGATATTCAATCCTGTCAGACTTTAAGGGAGATTTGGTACTATATATGGCAGGTATCTTTTTGACTAGTTTATCATTTACTGAAATACAGTTGATTAAAAATTACCGTACATTTCTCCAGGTATATGTTTTGGGACTCTTGCCATACTGTGAAGAAAGCTTTAGATGCATTAATCTTTACTTCAGTTACATAAACTAGATCTTTTTTTTTTTAAATAAAAGTTAATTAAAAATGTATCCATTTACACATTATAAATCTCTTGGCATATGTGAGCCGTTTTAAATTCATTGTTACCTTCTAATGCATTTGAAAGTGCTGCCCAATGATATTTTTTTTTTACTAGATTTTATTGAGGCTTGTAACAAATGTTTCCAGTACAGTAATTTGTTTACTTTTTGTGTACCTTATTCTCTCTGGAAATTTCCTTCTCGAAGGGGATGGATCTATTTAAGCAGCAAACGCAATTGCACCAAGAGATTAACATTGATAAAATTGGTGTCGACATCTAGATCAGCATGCTAACAAGTTCGGTTAATTCTCTACTGCAATAGTTGGCACACACTGACAACAGTTACACATTCACTGTGCATGTATAATCAAAACTGAGGATCGATGGCTATGATCAAAATGTTCCTAAATTGGATTATGTATTATGCACACGGTGTTGTAAAGGTGAAACTGTATTTGAACTCGGCCTTGTGTGTTGGATACATGGGCCTTGTACAGTATCATCTTTCCATTATTGTATATTTGATGGAAAGATAGTAATTGATGTGGCATGCTGTACATCTGCAGATGACAACCTGTTTCCCCAGGGCTTTGTTACACACATGGTCAACCAACCATATATTCACACAGTCAATTAACCATATATTTACACTCGGTCAACCAACCACATATCCACACACGGTCAATCAACTATATATTTACACATGGTAACCAACCATATACTGTATTTACACGCGATCAATCATGCATATATTTACACGTGGTCAATCAACCATATATTTACACACAGTAACCAACCATATACTGTATTTACACGCAGTCAACAAACCATATATTTACACACGGTCAATCAACCATAAATTTACACACGGTCAATCGACCACATATTTACACACGGTCAATCAACCACATATTTACACACGGTCAATCAACCATATATTTACCAAATGCTTCAGAGAGGATGTAATTGTCATTTCACTATCTATGATTGATAAACATTTTTAACATGGTGCATTAGGCTCTTGTGAAATAGGCTGCATAACAATAACTGCACTTGTAATCTACAGTAGAAGGCAGTACTGGAAATGATACAGTATACTCCGAGGTGCTGAATAATAGGTCAGTGTTCAAAACCCGAGTTGCAGTTTGCTTTTACAAGCCTAAGTTCACAAAATATGGTCAGTCTGGGATGTTTTTATACATACAACTACATACATATTTTATAATTTAAGTATTGCTAAATACAAATATGCTTGTACATATATACACACACACACACACACATTTAGGTTATCATACACGTATATCTGTTATAAAACTCGCCTGTGTACTCATTTTCATCCATACACATAAAGTATCACCACTTGCATGCCTCTTATACTCTTAACATTCTATGTATTATTAGGTTTATTTGATTATGTAATATAAACTTAAGTGATCTTTATGTATACAGTATAAGTACATTCACAGTTATTTAATTGGTAATCAAGTTTTGTTGTTAAGTGTTTGAATATGATCTTGAGTGTTATAAAGTATCTTCTCACCCCCACTTGTTGATCCATATAACCTGATCTATATATAACTTGCCACTGCAGATTCCTGAGTGTGTTGTCTGTCATTTATTCTTCATGTTCTGCTGCCTAGACATTCTACTCGTCATTCACAAGTGTTCTGCATTCAGTATTCAACATGGGGCATTACCTTAAAATTGTCCATATTTTTTCAGGTTCATTGCCTGTGCACTTCAGATAGTTTGCTTGTAAACAAATTCTGATTTGAGTAATTAGACCAAATGGTGTATCTTTTTGTTACACACTTGAATGATTCTATTCCTTATTCCAAGCTGGGTAGTGAGTGCACAGTCAACACATCTTGACCTCTTTCACAATATGAAGAGCAGTATGACAGTGGCAAAACTTGGACCATGTACCGTAAATTTGACACTGTTCTTTTGTTTACTTTCACTATACAGTAAATGAATCCATGAACCGTTACCAGATAGTGTATCCCTCACAGGAAAGATAAAGCTATTTCAGTCTCATTCTAAGACTAAGATGTGAACATAATTTAAGTTTAGCCGAGCTCTACCTTTAATAATTTTCTATTCACTTTGGGATACAATCTTTGTATTGCCTAATTTCATGTTCAGCTTGTTTTAAAATTGTCCTTTCCAGGATTTCTTGGTATAACTGTCCCTTTGTGTTAACCATGACATTAACTCCTTGCCCAGTTGCCCTTGTTTCCCCTTTGCCACCACCACTTCTTTCCCCCCCCCCCTTCCCCCAATACTAGAGATATTGCTAGCATGATAGAGCACCAAGAAAAGTGAAGAGCTGCCAATGCATGTCACCGAGGTGAGGACAAGATCAACCGATATTGTCAGGTGGGCATGTTGACAGTGCCAAGGAACTGTCAGTTGAAGATGCAAGAAAACATCTGTTATGGAAGGTAAATAGAATCATTAACTTGTTAAATATTTTGTTATAAATGCTATTTTTTAATGATGTATGGAAATACTGTATGCACATGGGTATTCACCTAGTTGTGCTTGCAGGGATGAGCTTAAGCTCCTAAAGCTGTGATTTTGGCTATCAATTGATTAATGCAATGATGACTCCTCCATTTAACTAATATTTGCTTTTGAAGTTCTGTATAGATAGATCAGCATCAACCACATTTAACTCGTTAAATTTATTTAAATCTTTTATTCTATAATACAATTTTCTAACACCTGTGACTCATTTTTATTTTCAATTTCCATTGATGCCCCTTGTTCCAGTAATAAGTAATAATTAATAAGTAACCATGTTCAATTTTTTTTAAGCACAGATGGTGCTAAAATTTCCTTTAGAATTGTATACATTGCTATCATGTGTGCCTGCTTCTTTCCTCTAGCACAGTAAGGTCCAGTTCCCAGTTTGTTTGTGTTTTATTCCTCTCAACTCCAGGGTCGGCCTTTTTGAATATATCTACACTTTCTCTTCATTTTAATTTGAGTTTCAAGTGGGAATTCCATATATGTTGTATACAATATTCTGAATGTTTTTTTCATCTTGATTTCTGAAGGCTATTTGAATACTATATAGGCTAATTTTGCTGCCAATGTTTTGCTAATGTGTGGCTCTGGCATTAGAGTTGGAGTTGTTTCAACCTCCAGCTTTATTAATCTTTTGAGGTGGTAAGTTGCAATT